TGGACAGCCATTTGTCCGAAATGGTATAGGGTTACCTGCCTGAGCAGGGGGTTGGACTTGATGACCTCCAAGGTCCCTTCCAACTTTATTATTATTATTATTATTATTATTATTATTATTATTATTATTATTATTATTATTATTATTATTATTATTATTATTATTATTATTATTATTATTATTATTATTATTATTATTACTATTACCTCCGAGGTCCCTTCCAACTCTTGTTATTTTATGTTCTAACCTAGCATGTATATTTGGGGCTTGCTAGCATTCCCAACCAGCAATTTTTCTTTTGGATTGTTAGCCTTTTCCTTCCAAGAAATATCCAAAGCAACCGCACTGCAGAGGAGATTTAAACAAGCTGGGAAATCGGTCGTGTGTATCTGGAGCAGCCCAGACGGCCCATCCTTATGAGTAATAATTACACTTGAACTGGCTTGCTTTATCTTATATCGTCTTGTGCCCAAGAATAGATTTTTTTTTTGTCACAGAAGGCTCGCAAGCCGGGGCCACGGATGCACAAAGGAGGAGACGCGCCGAAAAGTGGAGACAGGCAGTCCTGATTCAGGACTGACCTGTCCTTGCCCGCAATCCTAACGGAAATGGTATCTGCAGATCTTTATGTCTGTTTACCACCCTTTTGTTTATCCTAGCCTCGTTGTGCAAAAAGGCCCTTTTGTCTGTGCGAATTCCCTTCTGTTGTGGTGGTGGTTAAGGAAGTGTTTATGAGAGAAGAGGGAAGCTGGGTTTTTTTTCTTTCCCCTATTATGCAAGGCCTATTTGCTTCTTTGTATATTGTTCTCGTTAGGCTAATTAGGCCTATAAATTACTTCCATCCAAAAGTTCATTAACTTGGACGGAGGAGGGTGGAGTAGAGACCGGAGAAGGAGAGGACCAGGGCGGTGTTGCAAGAGACCTGTCAAGTGACACACCAGAAGCTGTGTTGACACCTGCCTGAATGGAAAGTAGGACAGTTTTTTTATGGGGTTCTTCACACAACCTTCTGGGTCAAGATGTTTCGGATTCTACTTCTGACCCCTGGCTCGGTTTCCTGCATGGCTAGACAAATCTCCTCACCTCAGTTTCCTCAACGGCGAAACAAGAATAACCGGATATTTAGGATACACGCGAAGAAGGAAACGGTGCTGGGATAATGCTTCGCGTTCATAAAGATCTTCAAGACCCGGTGGGAGAACGCCGCGTTAAGAAAAGCAAAACATTGCTGCACTTTTAAAATCGGGACTCTTTCCTGCCATGTCGCAGGAGGAAGTCCACCTCCAGATAAAGGCATTTCCCAGGGAAATTTATGGATGTATTTTCCCATTCAGAAATATCCGCGTTTCTATCATCTTTCCTTGAAAGCCTCTCAGACTTAATTTTTGGCCTCCTGAATCACAAACACAGGGGGTGGGATTTTGGGGTGAGAAACCTCCTTTGTGACTTAGTGAATTAACTTTGATCCGTCAGGTCCTTTGGTGAGAAACAATCTGTTGCGCTGACAGCATTCAAATCGTGTGCAACGTGCAATGCATATCGCTGGAGTGGCTAAGAAATGTTATTTAAAAAATGAAAATACATACATGCCCAGATATGCATTCAGATAGCCTAACTTGTGGTGCTGGAGAAGACTCTTGCGAGTCCCCTGGACTGCAAGGCCATCAAACCGGTCAGTCCTGGAGGAGATCAACCCCGACTGCTCTTTAGAAGGCCAGATCCTGAAGTTGAAACTCAAGTACTTTGGCCACCTAATGAGAAGGAAGGACTCACTGGAGAAGAGCCTGATGCTGGGAAAGATTGAGGGCAAGAGAAGAAGGGGACGACAGAGGATGAGGTGGCTGGATGGAGTCACTGAAACAGGAGGCGTGAGCTTCAATGGACTCCAGAAGATGGTAGAGGACAGGAAGGCCCGGAGGAACGTTGTCCATGGGGTCGCAATGGGTCGGACACGACTTCGCAACTAACAACAACAAGAAGCCTAACTTGTAGAAATCTGCCCACACATCCACAGAATTGTATCCACATTATTTTGCTTAATATGACCCAACAAAGGCATGAAGGGCATACTCTGTTGTGCCAGCTTCTAGAATGATTGCATCTGATTTACGAAATCATGAAAGCACAATAATATCTATGGGAAATATAATTTTTCTCCCAACCAACACAACTTGAGTATATGTGGTGCAGATGGTGGATATAGACAACCACAGAATGTTTTTTTTCCCCCCAAGTATTTCTAAAGGGAATGAACATAACTGCATCCACCTGTACTCCATTGTGTGTTCAACTATTCTGGACACAGGGTGAGAGCAGAGAAGATGCAGTTGAAGTCTCCTCATTGAATAATGCCTAGACTAGAGTATGGGTGTCCAGCGTTTTGGCTTGCCTCGCCCACAATGAATGAAGAGGAATTGTTTGCACCAAATACACAATATATAAGAGCCGTGATGACACAGTGGTTACAATGCAATATTGCAGGCTAACTCTGCCCACTGCCAGCAGTTCAATCCTGTTGACTCAGCCTTCATCCTCCTGAGGTCGGTAAAATGAGAATCCAGATTGTTGGGGGCAATATGCTGACTCTGAAAACCGCTTAGAGAAGGCTGTAAAACACTGTGAAACGATAATATGTCTAAGTGCTAATGCTATATAACATATAATAAATATCTATATAAATAAAAATGTAAATGTTCGTTTGTTCAAAATCTTAAATCTCCGAAAGTTCTTCACCGATTGCTTTGAAATTTTGACACAACGTGGCATTCGAATACACGCGTGTTTTTATATACACCTACTATTATATAGATGTCACACCTGTGACAGGTAAAAACATGCTTGGACAATTATGTTGCGTGTTCTAGAGTCGGCAAACCAGACAATCTCTATATCTGCACAGACAATGGAACAACAAAAAATATTGTATACCCACAAGCATTGTGAAATTAAACATATTACAAACGTGCACTTTCTCTTTTCTTTCTTTTCCATTTAACCAGACTGAGCCACAGCAACGCGTGGCCGGGTACAGCTAGTATATAAATAACAAACTTCCTTTATTTTTTAAATTTTTTATTATATCTTGTGAGGCCGCATTACTAAGCTGTTCAGGGCCGAGGGCTGGACACGCCAGGCCTAGAGCTGAACCTCATTTAGAATGGAGTTATTTAAATAATCATTTTTGATCTGCACCTTGGAAGAAAAGAAGCAGATTGTTATTGCGCTTAGCCTCTTGGGGGTCTTTGAATTTTAAGAATGTAATATCTAAGCGTGTCTGTTCCTGTATGCCTCAATCCTGTCCCTCATGCTACAGAGTTGTCCTTCATGCGAAATATTTGTCCCTCCTGGACGTTGGCATCCCAGGAATATTATTTAACGTGAAGTTTCCAATTTTATTTTTTTTCAGGTTTTGTTCTGGTCATTGGTCTGGTGACTTTCTATCGTATCGGACCCTACACCAGCCTATCCTGGTCTTGTTATCTGAACATTGGGGCGTGTCTCTTAGCCACATTGGCTGCCGCCATCCTGATCTGGAACATCCTTCACCGTCGGGAGGACTGCATGGCGCCCAAAGTCATCGTGATCAGCCGCACGCTGACCGCTCGCTTTCGGCGAGGGCTGGAGAACGACTACGTCGAGTCCCCGTGCTGAGAACACGTAGATGGGAAGAGGGAGATGATTCAACCACCACGGGCGGATCAAAAAAAACCCCCCCAAAATAACCACCTGACTGCTTTCTATACATGGGCGATGTAATTTAAAACCACAAATTTCACTGTTCGCTTAGAGAACTCCGCCATTACAAGTAGTCCTCCACTTACGACCGCAGTTGAGCCCAAAATTCCCGTGGGGAAGCGAGACATGTGTTAAGTGCGCTTTGCCCCCGCTTTACGACGGTTGCTCAGTTAGCAACACTGGTTGTGAAGTGAATCTGGCTTCCCCCACTGAGACGGTCGCAAAAGGGGACACGGCAACGGTCATAAATGTGAGCCAGTGGCCAAGCAATCTGAATTTGGATTGCGTAACCACGGGGGATGCTGCAAAGGTTGTAACTGACCACGAAATTTCTGTTGCTCAGTGAAACCTGTGTTATGTGAGCTTTTGCCCCATTTTATAACCTTTCTTGCCACAGTTGTTAAGCGAATCACCGCAGTTGGTAAGTTAGCAACCCAGT